CTTGGGTGAGCACTGCCCGAATCAGGTGTGCGCTGGTAGTTCCCTGTCCCCTCACCTCCATCCACTCTCCACTCCTCCGTGCCCCAGGAGGGCAAACTCTACCAACTGCATCTTCCAGGTTCCATTGCCCTCTGCCTTCCGTTGGTTCTGGATAAAAGGAGGCACCACCAGACTGTGGGTCCCTTACCTGCTCTGTAAAGAGTCATTTCGTTCAGCTTTCTTATTTCATTCAACACTTTGAGTAAGATGTCTGTTTTTTGCCTAGACCTCGACTCATACAAGGTGTTTAACAATCAAAACATGAGTCGAAAAGAGGACTAGGCTTTTCCTATCTACTTTCACTGCAGCTTGAGATCTTTATAAAATGCAAATTTGGTCCTGGCCCTACGGCTCAATTGGGTGGAGAGTCATCCCGTACACCAAAAGGTTGTGGGTTCGATTCCTGATCAGGGCACATACCCAGGCTGCAGGTTCGATCCCAGATGGGGAGGCAACCATCTCCCCTCAATGTTTCTCTTTCTCTCTTTCCCTTCCTCTCTGTCTAAAATCAATAAAAAACAGCCGAAACCGGTTTGGCTCAGTGGTAGAGCGTCGGTTTGCGGACTGAAGGGTCCCAGATTCAATTCCGGTCAAGGGCATGTACATTGGTTGCGGGCACATCCCCGGTAGGGGGTGTGCAAGAGGCAGCTGGTCGATGTTTCTCTCTCATTGACATTTCTAGCTCTCTATCTCTCTCCCTTCCTCCTCTCTGTAAAATATCAATAAAATATATTTAAAAATAAATAAATAAAATAAAATAAAATCAATAAAAAACATAGCTTCCAGTGAGGATTAAAAAAAGAAAGCAGCAGAAACCGGTTTGGCTCAGTGGATAGAGCGTCGGCCTGGGGACTAAAGGGTCCCAGATACGATTCAGGTCAAGGGCATGTACCTTGGTTGCAGGCACGTCCCCGGTGGGGGGTGTGCAAGAAGCAGCTGATCGATGACTCTCTCTCATCGATGTTTCTAACTCTCTATCTCTCTCCCTTCCTCTCTGTAAAAAATCAATAAAAATATATTTAAAAAAGAAAAAAAAAAAGAAAGCAAATCTGAATATATGATTCCTCTGTTCTAAGACCTCGGCGGCTCCCTATGACACCCCCGTCACTGCACCCCATTCTAAGTTGCAGCCTGAACTGCTTTCAGTTCCTCCTGCAACACGGTCTCTCTTCCCCTGAGCCTTAGCAGAGGCCGTAGCTTCTTCCTGGAAACCGCCTCCTCCCCCACTCTCATCGTTCAGACATCAGCTCAGATGTCACGCACCCAGAAAGTTCCACAACCTGCTTTCCCAGCTAGATGTCAGTATCCGCTCCCACAGCAGCCTCTACCACCACACATAGGCAGGATTCTGGGATACACGGACGGCAACTGCCTGCCAGCTCCTCTCCGTTGGCTCCAGAGTCCTCCAGGCACCGCGTCTCCGATCCCCGAAACTATAGGGTGCTTGGCCCTCTCAGGCTCTCAGTGAATCTTGGACAGGTAGTTCCTGAATGCTGCTGAAGAGGCTCCAGCCCGCCTCCTCCAGCTACCGTCCTCTCTCTGCATTCAATGACAAAAAGCAGAAAACTATAATTTTTAGCCCTGACCGGTTTGGCTCAGTGGATAGAGCATCGGCCTGCAGACTGAAGAGTCCCAGGTTCAACTCCGGTCAAGGGCATGTACCTTGGTTGCGGGCACATCCCCAGTAGGGGGTATGCAGGAGGCAGCTGGTCGATGATGTTTCTAACTCTCTTTCCCTCTCCCTTCCTCTCTGTAAAAAAAAAAAATCAATAAAATATATTTTAAATAATAATAATAATAATAATAATAATAATAATTTTTAGCCATGCACTCCTCATTACTACCTTCCATTTACTTCCCAGACCACTTTGCTCTTACTTTGCCACCACCTCTTATGGAGACTTCTCCCGCCACGTTTATCAATGACCAACGAGATCTTCAATTTAACAGCTTCTTTCCGGTTGTAAGATAGGAAACAATTTTCCTTCTACCCATCTCAATTCTTCTGGCTGGTCTAATAATCAAATATCACAAGAGATTAACAGGAGAAATAACAAAATTTATTACATATATACAGACGGATTCATAGAATATAGGACCCTGAGGACATTTAGGGCAGTTAAGGCACAGATGCTGTTCTAGACTAGGAGGAGGGAGGCAGGGGTCTGAGACTTCAGAGGGAAGGTAGGTGAGAAAGAGCAAACCTTTGGTAAAGAAATTCCTGCTGGGCCACCCAGAGACCAGAGACACCGAGGTTGCTAAGCACCTCCCTTTCTGTCACACTCGTTTAAGATAAGGTGATAAGCTCACTTCCTTTAAACTAGACTTTTCTGTCTGAATTCCCTTAGGCAGTTAAGGGGTAGATGGGTCAATGGTTCTTTCTGAGTCTTTTGTTTCTTAAAAAAAATAACCAGCTTAAAATAATTAATATCCCAAGTGGCATAATTTGGAGTGGCAAACTCTGCTTCCACTCAGTCCAAATCCTCCAGAATTTCTCTGCAGCACTTTCTGGAAACTCCTTCCTCTGCTCTCTATGGATCATGAAAATTCTCTCTTCCTTTCTCTCTCTCTCTCTCTCTCTCTCTCTCTCTCTCTCTCTCTCTCTCTCTCTCTCTCTCTCTCTTTCTCTTTCTCTCTCTCTCTCTTTCCCTCCCTCTGATCTGTTTGCACATCTATGTTATCCTCCATTCACTTATAAACACCCCCACTCCCCACCTCACCCCCGTGTCTTGTTCATTGAGTGCCTGGCACATAGTAGGACTTAGTAACCATGAACACTAAGTGATGAAAACTCTTTCTTGGCTTCCAGGCCATCTTCCTTAACCTCTTTCTCACAAGCTCCTCTTCCTCCGTCTTCCCCTTAAAGTTCTTCCGAGTAACTCATTTTTATCCACCTTTGGGGCTTCAGCCAACAGGAAAGACTCTAATTCCCAAATGTGTATTTTCAGCCTTAACCTTTCACCTGACCTAAGGCTGCCCTTCTCTCCCTAAGTGTCTCTCCGACAGACAGTTCAAGTGCTGTTATCTCTTCCATTCCATCCTGCCCTCCAGCTTCCAAGGCTCATTCAATGGAATTCACAACCATCTAGTCCAAGTTACAGACCTTAATGTCCGCTTACTCTTCCTACTGCCTTCCCCCTTGACCTGCAAAGCAACCAGCTTTACCCCCTACCAATCCCAACCCCAAATCCTAACTCTGCCTCTGGGTTCTCCCATTTCTTCCACTTGAGGCCATGCCCCCTGCCCGACAGGCCTTGACGGGGGACCTGAGGCTGCAAGGCTGGGCCAGCCTGGTGGGGCCGGCCGAGTCTGGGTCTCACGAGATTTTGAGGTGAGCGCAGGTGAGCAGGAACTTGACTCTGGGTCCCGAGGCATGTCCCAGGCTCTGATAGGAGGGAGATTTTCATATACACTTTACTAATTTTCTTTCACCTCTGACACTTCTGGTATAGAGAAAGGGCAAATAGCAATATTAAAATATTTTCTCTAATTAATTCCCTTTTAATGTGCACTAATTTTGTGCACCGGGGCACAAGTCTATATAATAAAAGCCTAAGTGACTATTATGGTGAAAGGACCAGAGTGGACAGTCGCTAGGATGCACACTGAAACCTCAGGGGCAAACACTCAACATAGGAGCTGCCCCCTGGTGGTCAGCACTCTCCCACAGGAGATGGCCTATCAAAGTCTCTCCCCCCCCCCCTTCTTTTCCTCTCTCTCTAAAAGTCAATAAATGTAACCTCGGGTGAGGACTAACAAATATATGTTTTTTTAGTATGAATGAATGCATTAATAAATGATTGACTTGGGAAAGAGAACCTCTTCAATTAGTCCCCTTCAGAGATTACTCACAGGGAATCTGAAGTTAGAAGAACAGTAATAACTCGGTTTGAAAACGAACGTGTTACCAAGCAGGCAACATACATTGAAAAACACGTGTAACCTGCCTACAGACGGCGGGTAATTGCTGTGCAGCTAGGGAGCCTTCATGCTTTTATTATTACTTTTTAAATATATTTTATTGACTTTTTTTTTACAGAGAGGAAGAGAGAGGGATAGAGAGTTAGAAACATCAATGAGAGAGAATCATCGATCAGCTGCCTCTTTCACACCCCCTACTGGGAATGTGCCTGCAACCAAGGTACATGCCCTGACAGAATCGAACCTGGGACCTTTCAGTCCACAGGCTGACGGTTTTGGCCCTTCATGCTTTTAGACTTTCTAGTTCTCGGTGTGCACAGCCAAACCCAGAAAGAGAATTATTATTTTTAAGCCCTTCAGATTTCCAGTAAAAACCAGAGACACCGCCTGGAGCAGGCCAGCGCCTGGGCGGTGGTAGGCCCGAACCCATCTTCAGGCTTTTGCCTTGCCCTCCGGTGCCCTCCTTTTATATGGATTGAGTACTTAAAGCGAATTTTAGTTTAGGGTTTCCATTGGGTGGAAACAGCGTCCCGGAGATGCTCATGACTCCCATTCGCCCGGGACTGCCCATCCCAAGGGGAAATCCCCGCCGGAGGGGCGGGCGGGCGGGCGGGTGGGAGGCGGAGCTACGTTGCAGGAAAAGGCTGGGAGGAAGCGGGAGCCGGAGCTCCTTCGGGTCTGGTTCGCTTTTTTTGAACCCCGGGGCGACGTGACGACGTGACCCCTAACTGCTTTTGCAGCTCGTTTCCCCTGCGGAGCGCCGCCCGCCCCCCCTTCCTCGCCCGGCCCCCCGCTTCCGCCGGGCGCTGCGCTGCTCGCCGCCGCCGCTGGGGGCGCCCGCGGCCGAGGAGCGGCGGTTCCCGGAGCGGCGCCTCCCTCCGCGGCTCAGACGCGCGGCGGCGAGCGGAGCACCGACACGGCGCCCACCGCCCCGAAGCCCCGCGGCGCGGCCCGGCCCGGACTGCGGCCCCCGGCCCCGGCCCCGGCCCCGGCCCCGCTGCCCGCCCTCCCGCGGCGCCCGCTGGCCGCGCCCCCGCGCGCCGCCCGCCGCCCGGGCCATGGCGCGGCGCGGGCCTGGGGTCCGGCCGAGCTGACCCGCCGGCGGCTCGCGCGCCCCCCGGGGCCGCCCCCGCCCCCCGCCCGCCGGCGCCTGGCGCTCAGGATGATGATGAAGAGGAAGAAGTTCAAGTTCAAGGTGGACTTCGAGCTGGACGAGCTCTCCTCCGTGCCCTTCGTCAACGGCGTCCTCTTCTGCAAGATGCGGCTGCTGGACGGCGGCAGCTTCAGCGCCGAGTCCCCCAGGTGAGCGCCCCCGGAGCCCGCGGAGCCCCCGAGGCCCGCGCCCCCGCCCGGCCTCGCCCCAGCGCGGCGGCCCCGGCAGGGCAGCGCCCCTCCGGGGCGGGCACCGGCCTGCGCCCCGCCAGCCCCCGGGCACCCGGGCGTCGGTCTGCAGAGCCCGCCCGGCGCCTCTGGGCCCCCGAGGCCAGGTGCTCCCCGAGGAAGAGGATGCTCTGCGCTCTCTCTCTCTCTCTCTCTCTCTCTCTCTCTCTTGATTTCAGAGAGGAAGGGAGAGGGAGAGAGAGACACATAAACGATGAGAGAGAACCACTGATCGGCTGCCTCCTGCACGCCCTCCCCTCTCCCCCCCGCTTCCTGGGGATCGATCCCGCAACCCGGGCATGTGCCCTTGAACGGAATCGAACCTAGGACCTGTCAGCCCGCTCGCAGGCCCACGTTCTCTCTATGCACTGAGCCCAGCCAGCTCGGGCTGGTTTCTCTTAAGACGTTTCCATGTTTGTGAAATACATGCAGCGTGGAACTCGGGCTGCTGGTAACACTCACAGAAACGGCCCCGACCGAAGCCCGTGCGGAGCCCGGCTCCGCCCCGCGGTCCCCGGGGCCCGGGGCTGCGGTCTGTGCCTCCAGCTCTGAGGGGCCCCTGCAGGACTGCCCCCCTCAGGGGCCCCCGGTGCCCTCGGGGTGAGGACCCAGCGCCAGGGCGAGGGCCCAGCCCCTGCCCCCACTTTGAAACGAACCCCTGGGCCGCGGGGCGAGGCGTTGGCAGCTGCAGAAGCGAGTCCTAGGAGTCGCTCTTGTGTAATGTCAGGGCTACTCGTTAAGCGAACAGGTTTACCCCAAGCTAGTGTTCCTGAAGGAAACAGAACATGTACGGCATCTAAAAAACAACAACGAACTTTTGAAGTTCCTGCAATCCAGAAAGAAAAAAAAAGGTTAATAATTCATGCTTCTGTTGCTTAAACGAACTGTTCATAGACTTTATTTTTGCCCTAAAAACACCCTGCTTCTCTTTTAATCTGCCATCCTATTAATAATAATAACATAAAGGACATAATGTCAATAGGTTGTGGAATTGGGGCCAGAAAAGTGTCTGCCGTGGCAATATCGGAGCCTTCGGAAGCCAGGAATGGTAATGTGTCGTTGGGCGAAGCCAAGGATGAAGCGCTGTGGAGCCTCAGAATTAAAACAGGGTCAGCCCTGGCTGGTTTGGCTCGGTGGATGGAGCAGTCAGCCTGTGGCCTGAAGGGTCCCAGTTAGAATCCAGTCAAGGGCACATTCCTGGGTTATGGGCTCCATCCCCAAGATGGGGCATGCAGGAGGCAGCCGATCCATGATTCTCTCTCATTGTTGATGTTTGTGTGTGTGTGTGGTTGTTTGTTTGTTTGTTTGTTTTTACTGTATGTTTGTTGATTCTCTGAGGGTTGTTTTTTTTTATTTTTATTGATTTTTTACAGAGAGGAAGGGAGAGGGACAGAGAGCTAGAAACATCGATGAGAGAGAAACACCGATGAGAGAGAAACACCGATCAGCTGCCTCCTGCACACCCCCCACTGGAATGTACCCGCAACCAAGGCACATGCCCTGGACCGGAATTGAACCTGGAACCTTCCCCCCCCCCCCCCCCCCCCCCCCCCCCAGTCCATAGGCCAACGCTCTATCCACTGAGCCAAACCGGTTTTGGCTCATCGTTGATGTTTTTACCTCTCTTCTCCCTTTCCCTTCCTCTCTGAAATCAACTAAAAAACAAAGGAAAAAAAAAAAACCATGGTTAGCTGAGGGTAACTTTTAAAATTAAACTGTACTGACAAACCTGTGGCTATTCAGCTGATTAATTACACTGCAATAATTTTTAACACAGGTAAGAGAACAGTGTAACTTAGAATGCTTTTAGCCGTGAAGGTGTTGAAAAGCCAAGTCAGTTCTTGACTGTCCCGTAGGTGCAAGTGGTAGTCCTCCCCTGACCCTGACCCTTACCCTGTTTCTCTGACGCCACCTCCTAAGCGCTTCTGGCTGTGAGGCCAGGGCTTCTGGGCCAGTGGTGACACCTGGTGGTCAGGGTCCTTCCCTACCACCTCCTTCCTCCCTCCGGTTATTGATTTGGCCTGCTTCTCTCAAATCAGTTGGTATTCTGATGTAGTAGGTAGTCATGGATAGGCTGGGCCCTTTAAATACGTTACCTTATTTCATTCTCACAGCAAGCCCATGATCTAGGGATTTCCCCACTTGGTGGACGAATAAACTGAGGCTCAGAAAGCATAACTAACTTTCCCAAGGTCCCCACATCTGGTAAGTGAAATGCCGAGATGCTGATACTGACTTCAAACAGATCTGTGCCGGATAAAGGAGAAAATTGCGTGCTCTGCTGAGCTGGGAGGTTCCTGATGGTGTACGAACAAGCCAGGGGTGTAATTTTATGTGTAATTTGCACCCGTTGGAAAGGGAAAAGGCGAGGATCTGGGTTCAGCTGAACCCCTTCCTCTTCCAACTGAAATTCTGACTTTAATCAGAGTCAGGAAGGTTCAGAAAAGTGCTCTGTATAACCAACTGACCAAACAAAAACCCCCGTTTAGTTTGGCGGGAAACGATCCACGATAAGGAGCCTGTGCCTTGTGAGGGAGAGGGGGTTGGTGTAAAGCTAAGAGCGAAGGTTTGGGATTAGGTGGGTGTTCGCCTGAAACCTAGCTCTGCCGGGGGAAACCTGGGTGGCTGCTTAGTCTCCCGAAGCTCCGGTTTGCAAACTAGAAACCACCGCTGGCGGGAGGGGCCTGTGGAGGGGTTTGTAAGATCAGGTACCCTAGCGGCCCCCCCCAGTGCTCTGGCACCCGGTTAGCACTCACAGAGCACACCAGGAGCTTCTCCCAGAGGGTTTGTCTCCAAATCTAGAAGCTCCACTTACTCCCCTTATCCTGACAGCAATGGAAGCTTAGGTTTGAATAGTGTACCTCGTTTTACAGGGGAAAAGGGAAGCCCAGAATGCCGAAAGGATGTGCATGATTTAAGAATTGAATAATTTTCATCCCTACGTGCCCGTCTAGGCAGTGCATCTGTAATTAAGAGCTATAATTTTAATTTTTTAAAAAATTACTTTATTTGTCTCTTATAAATCAAACTAGAGGCCTGGTGCGCGATTTTCTCATGCACGAGTACGGTCCCCAGGCCTGGCTGGCGATCAGGGCTGATCTGTGGGGCGACCAGCGGGGACCCCACTGGCTCCTGCCTTGGCAGGCTTGGCACCACCTGCTCACTGGCCCCACCTCCCACCACCACTGCCAGTCACCTCCCTCTGTGGGGCGACCGGCCGGGTGATTAGGGGGGCCCCCTGCTCGCAGCCACCTTGGCTGGCCTGGGGCCTGCTGGCTGGGGGCAGCTCCTGCATTGAGCGTCTGCCCCCTAGTGGTCAGTGCTCATCATAGCGACTGGTCATTCTGCCATTCGGTCAGTTTGCATATTAGACTTTTATTATATAGAATATAGTTCACAACTGTAATATTCCTCCCAAATATAGGAGATGAGTTACATAGCAGGCCCAAGACCGCTTTCCTTAGAAAAGGCTGCTTGCACTGTGTCTGCAGGCACCTGGGAATGTGGATGGACAGCAGTTCCCTGCACTGATTTGGTGTTGAACTTCAGAGAGCCTCGCTGGCCTAGACTCAGGGTGATTTACCCTGGATACTTTCTTGGGGTCTGGAATTTTGAGTTGTGCAGGCAGCACCATCCAAGTTCCCCCAACTTTCCTGGGCCTGTGTGTCTCTTCCCTTGTCCAATCCCCTTCCCACGTGTTTTACAGGGAACATGCCTGTATTGTGTGGCTTTCCCTCTGCCCCTTTCCTGTTATTAATAGCTAGTTAATTACAGCGGTATCCATCAGAGCGGCACTTAAGCTGGCCTGTGTGCGGATGTTCTCTGGATTCGATTGGGGCTAGATTAAAACGGGCGTACAAATTAGGAGTCTTAAAATAACCCAGGCGGGAGCTCATAAGAGCCTGCACTTGGAGGTCTCTCTGTAAGTGGCCGATGAAATGATAACGCCGTGACCAATGCCTTGATGACATGACAGTCACCAAGTCCAGAAGCATCTTGGCTTGATTTTGCTTCGATGAGGGACTGTAACATATTGGGGAGGAGAAGAGGCAGTTAGTTATGTATTTAACATACTATGTGGAGGTGACAGCCTGGCGAGAATAGTTACTGTATATTAAGTTATTGTGTAAGTAAGCCTGCTTCCTCAACTTTTCCTCCAAATTCCCTTGCACCATTTTGCCCTTCTATTTTTTATTATTTATTTATTTATTTTACATTTTATTTTATTGTTCAATGACAGTCGGCATACAATATCACATCAGTGTCCTGTTCTGCCTCTTTCAAGATTATTAGTGAACGCTAATTTTAGAAGGATCCAGGGTCTCCTGGGAAGGTATGTCCAGGGAGGAGGTTAGAAAAAAATATAAAGACTCCAAGGTATTTATTTGTAATAAATGTTGCTCATGGGATCAGATTTCACCATAGTTAATAAAACATTCTGAAAACGCCCTCGCTGGTTTGGCACAGTGGATGGACCGTCGGCTTGCAGACCAAAGGGACCCGGGTTCGATTCTGGCCAAGGGCACGTACCTTGGTTGCAGGCTCCTCCCCAAACCAGGCCCTGTTCGGGGCTCATGCCAGAGGCAGCCAGTCGACGTGTTTCTCTCACATCGATGCTTCTGTCTCTCCCTCTCTCCTCCACTCTCCCTAAAGCTCAGTGGGAAAATGTCCTTGGGTGAGGCTTCCCAACAGCAAAAACATTCAGAAAACAGTTGTTCGGCTGTAGTAAACTGAAGGCAGATGATTGCCTAATGAAAAGTTTTGAAGAACTTTCAAAGACAGAATGTTACATTATTGAAATCTTTCCAGAGCACGCTTGCTTTGTAAAAGTGTCCAGTTCATTGTTAGGTTTATTAAGCCTGCTAGACCAGGTTTTATTTCTGGTCTGCTGTAATTAAAGGAATAATAAGAAAATTTTTCTG